ACCAAACCACAAAACCCTAAACCCTCGTCTCACCTTCAAAACTTTACACCCCCAAGAAGTATGCAGCTACGACTGAGATTCAGCTTCTAGGGTTTAGGGTTTAGGGTTTAGGGTTTAGGGTTTAGGGTTTAGGGTTTGGCGCACTCCCAGTAGCCAGTCGAGGCAGCCACGGGCTGAGGGAGCTATCGCCGGAGACGAAGTCGCGCCGCCCCTCTGCTAGGAACGGGTCCTACACAAAACCCTAAACCCTAAACCCTAAACCCTAAACCCTAAACCCTAAACCCTAAACCCTAGATAATTTATTTCAAACCCTAAATCATAAACCCTTAAGCGCAAACCCTAAATGCTGAAAGTGTAGTTATAGGAGGGGTACTTGCTATCGCTAGAATTGCGGCTTATGCATATTAGGGTTTTATACTGAGGGTTTAGGGTTTAGGGTTTAGGGTTTAGGGTTTAGGGTTTGAGGTGTACATGCAGCTTCATCTCAATTTCTCTCCTTTCCAGCTCCCTCTCATGAGCCTTCATTTCTTCTTCTCTCTTTCTTCTTTCTTCTGCCTGGGACGCAACAAAATTATATTTTAATATACAGAATACATACACTCGAGGGTTTAGGGTTTAGGGTTTAGGGTTTAGGGTTTAGGGTTTAGGGTTTAGGTACCAGTCTCAGGTTGTTCTGCGCTGTCTCGAGGCGGCGCTGGGCCTCGTCCTTCTCCTGCAGCAAAGACAACCCTAAACCCTAAACCCTAAACCCTAAACCCTAAACCCTAGAGTTTAATACGCAAACCCTAAACCCTAAACCCTAAACCCTAAACACAGAAAACAAAGATGAGCTGTTTTACTTTCTGCTGGCACATTGCCTCCTGCACTCTGTTGCTTTGTTCAGCGAAGTCTGCGTAGCTCCTGCGAACCACCACAAACCCTAAACCCTAAACCCTAAACCCTAAACCCTAAACCCTAAACCCTAATTTCTAAACCCTAAAGTGTGAAAATTGATATTTGCCTTTCCTCCCTAATTCGTTTTCATCCCGAGTTTAAACACGAGGTCTCTTTGTGGTTTAGGGTTTAGGGTTTAGGGTTTAGGGTTTAGGGTTTAGGGTTTAGGGTTTAGAGTACTTTTCTCTGTCTTTCTCTTGCATATCAAGCAGAGCCTGCTGAAACAAATGTTCCTGTATTGCTTCTCGCTGCTGCTGCTGCTGCTGC